GAGTCCTCGTGATCGAATCGAAGAATTCCCAGGGGAAAAGACTTTTTAAAGTCTTAAAAGACTGGAAGGTGGACTATATGAATGTTCATTAAAGTCACAATTGATAGAGGTAAGCTACTGGTGATCTTTATTTTCCTTAAAATCTAAGTAGCATAATTTCGGTGACAGAGAGCATAATTTTCAGAAAGTAGCATAATTTTGGCATAATTTCTAAAACATATGAGCACTGCTAAAAGCATAATATACTTTTTTTTCGGGCACAATCTACCAAAGCCTAGGCCAAATGGTACAGAAATTTCCTGGTAGAGTTGCTGAATTCCCAAAAATCGAACCATTCAACCGAAAATTACGGAAATTCCAGGACGAAAATGAAATGGAACGGAAATTTCCAGGAAAATGTTTTCAAAAACCTGGGTGTACTTCAGAAGGTTGTCCTCTTTTTCGGAAATTATTTTGGCTACGATCACAGCGAGTTGGACATCGCACGCAAGGATGACGGGGACGCGTATTCGAAAATGAATTAATATTTTTTTCTTAAGTATCTTGCTACTAATTGTGTGTCGATAAATACTTGCTAGCTACAGCTAAATGCGCCAAAAAAGCTTTTAGTTTCAATAAAAAAAATAGGTCCCCATGGTGTACTTGTTTGTTTTGCATAGGTTGGCTAAGAAATGTACGAAGATTTATAACGCGTGCAGAGCCATTGTGCCACTCATTAACCCTTTGTTTTGCGACGTTTTCGCTGTCGTCGTTGTTTGTATTTAAGGGTCCCTGTTGTTGTGGTCTAAAAGTCGAGATGTCGACGTATCAGTGTTTTGTTTGCTCCTATCTTTGCGATTTAAATCTCGAAGTCATTGAATAATTCCAAGCAAACAAAAGTGCTGGAGAGTCAGCCATTTTCAATTTTCCAGGGAATAATTGCGAATGGAACGGGCTTATTGTTTTCCACTCTGCTGCAGTCAACCGGAAAATTCTGTTCCATTCGCCCTAGGAATTTTCCTGAAAATCACAACGGAATTTTTGGTCGGATGGAAAGCGCGCCGCTCTAGGAAATGTTTCCTAATTGCTGCAAAAAGGAGGACATTTGCGAGAGGTATTTTCGAACTTGCAAACATTTTTTCTTGGAGAAAGACAGCTTTTAATGCAGTTTGGAAATTCAACAGTTAACCGATTTTCTGAAAACTTCCACAAGAAATTTCCGCAACATTCCTTCATGTTCTCTAAATTTCCGGAAGCGCCCCTCACTAGCTAATTGTAGCCGCTACGTTCTTGCGTGACTCAGTTGGTTTATATTTAACGTCGATCTCACGTTGCGAAATTATACAACCGGAAACACGCAGACTGGGAAACACGCAGACTGGGAAACACGTTCGTGGCACTAAAAGCTGCTTTAAGGTCCAATAATGCAGGTGTTAATCATAACTCAGCACACATTTGCTGGCCGAGCATAGTTCTTCCTAACCTTCAAAACAAACAGACTTGTTTGGTGATAATTCGACTTTACATGTTACGGCGAGAGTGAAACCATTCGGGAGAAATCATTTAGGAGAAAGGTAGGTAAACATGTAACGAAGTAAACACAGACAATGCAATGTGATGTCAGTCGAGGATGCGCCAACTGTGATAAGGAAAACTGAATCAAATATCGACTATTTGCGAAACAGGAAAGTCAATTTCGAATAGATAGACAACGTTACATGCTTTGAAGTGAATGGTTGGCTTTAGTTAAGCGGCTTGTTCTTTGTGATCTTCTATAAACCAGCTTTATCGAGCCAATGTTTATGTTGCAGTTGACCCCTCTTGTCTTCATAATCAATTCTTGTCTGTGTTGTGTTTCTATAAACTGTAGAACCCATGGTGTCTTTGTTAAAATCTTTTGAAGTTAGAAATTCCAAAACCAGGGCAAATCGAGAGCTTGAATATGGATATTTCCTGCGTGAGAGCGAAGAAACTTCAGCTTATTCCAGATAACTTTTGTTCTCGCTCGGTATTCACTGGCGCTCACACGCTGTTGATTTTGAAGCGTCAAATTTACTAACTATGGTCGCACATGTTAGTTTTCCAGTCTCGTTTTGTGCTTGCACGTAAGTCTACTATGTGATAAGTGATCTGTCTGCGTGTCAGCTAATGACGTTAGTCGGGTCGTCGTACACGAGCCAGGAGCCGAGTCGTCCCTTATTAAAGGGGCTCAGTCACGGTATTTTGAGTTATTTTGGCCACATACAAAATTACCTTTAAATGGTAGGAAGCCTGAAAATAACAGTTTAATGAGATGGAAAAACACCAAAGAGATAATGATAAACCATAAAGGATCAAGGATGGCTAAGGATGGAGAAGATTAACACGGATTACAAACGACGAATTTGAAAAATTGAGGCTACACTTTTCGATATGCGCAAACCGTGACTGAGCTCCTTTAAAATAAGATTGGTCCTTTACTGGAGAGTGTCTCAATTCATTCACTGCAAGACATCTTCTTACTGCATCATGGTGAGGATTGGCCTGAGATATGTTTTCAATAGAGATTCCCCCGCGGCGAATATAGGCTTAGTATCTTACATGGTTAGCCTCCCCCCCTCCCCCCGGGCGGGGAGACTCCCATAGAAAAAGGACGTCGGAAATTTTGAAAAGAACAGCTGAAAAGTACCAAGATCCTGTTTTGTGGCTTGAATTTTTTTGTTACCCCTAAAGGTCCAGTAATAGGGGCAACATTTTTCTTCAACTTGTCTCGCAACTTGTCTCACTTTGGGACCGGCAAAATAAACACGAACAAGAGGCTCCAAGTAGCCTATACTCATGCGCAAGAGAATACAAGTCATATAAAGTAGATACGTAATGCGTACATAGTCAGACAAGCAATTTGAAAACGTTTGCCATCTGATAACTAGAAATAATACGGGAGAAATGCTAATTTGAAAAAAGTGCATCATAGATCGAAGATATAGATAATTATGATGCAGGGGGGAAGATAAATGCTGTAACGCAATATGCCATCTTTATTACAAGGATATCGTCAGGTTAATAACAAAGCAAGCCGACTCGAAGAATTAGAGATAGAGAATTAGCAAATGATCAGAATTGCGAATTGGATGAAATATATTTTTTCATAGCAATTCTGAACTAACCCTCTTTAGGCATTTTTTGTTCAAGTATTAGACTTGTTCATGTTGCTTGTTAGGAATATATTCCAGTACTGGGCCATTGTAACAAATATCAACTTTGCCTTATTTTTATTATATTTGTAATTTGATTTTAAAGTATACTTGAAACTTGATAAAATAACAGTACCCCTCAGTAGACACCTGGCGTTTTTTGTAAGTTATATCATGCAATGCCATATTTCCGAGGATTAAAATATAATATTATTAGTTTCATTTCACCAGTACTTTCAAGTGTTTCATATACATGTATTACTTCAAAATTTATTTTCTACATTTGGTGTTGTTATAAATGATTTCTTTAGAGAAGATATTTAAAAGAGTCGCACAGACGTTTCCAATAATTTCGGTAAAAAGTTTTAGCCCACGTATTACTCGAACTTTTGGTGGATTCCTTCTTAACACCTAAGCTAATATAACTATTACTGAACTGAACGACTTTAATCTGCATTTGATAATGGCGACAAGATAACGCCGAAACGTTAAGTTATAGCACTTATTTTCCTTTTAAAATAATTTCTTTGTAACCGAGTATCTTTTGGGATTTGAGGGACAAAAAAACCTTGAAAATTTGTCCTGAAATCCTCGGAGACATGCTAGAATATTGATGTACGGTATATCGAACATGGCCTATTACCTGCCCGTTTTGTTGAACACCTCCATTTACACAAACAGGAAAGATTTTTTGACCAAAAGATTAAGTATACAGAGTCCGGTCTTAGTAAATGACTCTTCGTAATATGTCCTTGAATCTCCAAAACCCTAATAAATTTGAGATTTGTCTTATTGTCAGATGGCGATCGACATAAACAATGGCTTACCTCTCCAGAAACACTTTCTTGCTGTTCATGCATGCTCACATGCCAGTTCAGAATCTTAACAACGAACTAAAGTACTGATAGGTACTTTCACACCGCATCAAATTGGGGAAAAAGCACAACGTTTGCGAAAAAACGGCAACTTCTTGAAGAATTCAATATGGCGGACGAAGCCCCAAAGACCGTGGTAAATGTATGCATGCATACATTTGCATGCACAAATGTGACACCAAAACGGAGAAACTGAGCCCAATCCTTAACTCATGCGCCATACTGCGCATGAGTAATTGGTCTGAAGCAACATCTATGAAAATGATAGTTTTTTTGGACACTTTTTTTTTGTCCGAGATTAAAATCGTCCGAGATGTTTTGCAAGTAATGTAGGTTTTTCTTTTTATTTCGGAAAACAAAATCATAGCAAGCCTGGTGACCTCAGCGCTTAATCAAAGCTCTTTAGGGATATCTCACGAGACGTTTAGTCGATATATATATGAACTATTGACAAAGCGTGAGGTCAAGATGGCTGGATATTGGCCAAGTTCGTTTTTGCGTCTTTATGGACCGAGATGGAGTCGAGGACCATAAACACGCAAAAACAGAACGAGGCCAATATTCAGCAACTCCGACCGAACAAGCTTGGTCAATAAAGGATTATTTTATTATATGGACTTTGAAAAATCTGCCTCGGCTTCGGAGAAATTAAAAGTTCTCTTGCGAGTGGCAGCGCGAAAATCTTGTCCGCTCGTGTAACCAATCACACCACAGGATTTGCTTCATTTTGCCTATTTACGTAGCTAGCCATATGATAATCCCAATTAATAGTCACCTGATTAAACTGATGTATAGACTTGACCGCTACGTGTCTCTGGCGGTGATCAAAATAATACGCCACGAGATTTAATTGAGGGAACTCTTTGGTTTTATCTGCAAGCGTGACTTTCCACACAATTTTGTTTTCGCATCCGGATGTCGATGAGTGGGTACAGTGACCTGTATTTCCCACAATTAGAGATTTCAAAAAGAGAATCTTTCGAGGACTAAGGTCGTAATTTTATACAGTGGTTCGACATCATGTTTAACTTAAGTTAGAAAACGTAACATCCCTTAAAGCACGCACTGAAGGCTGTACTTCCATAACTAGTTAGTAACCAAACACAGGACTAGCACGATCCTTAGGACGTAGTGATGACGCAAGCAAAGATAATTTACTTTTTGAGAATCGAAATAAACAAGTAATTTTCCTTTCTTTATCTGGCAGAGTTTTCGAACAAAAATGGAAAACAGTTTCTCCTTGTTTTGTTTTTGTTTTTTTCGACTCAAGTGAAATTTTGGGAGAACTTATTTTCCAGAAACGAGGAACAAACGTTTTAATTCGTTGTGGACCGTTATTTTAATTATGTATTGTTATTTTTGACATCCATCACTGCATAAACGTTAAAGCTAATCTGCTCGACCCTTTACGTTAGTCTTAAGGGAAAGGCGGTTTTCTTTATGCTGCCTGCGGAAAAAGAGAAACGAAGAAATGACGAAGATGTCACAAGGTTGTGCTTTGGTCATAAAATTTCAAAATCTTATAATTTTTTTTTTAAAGTTCGTGTGAAAATGACCCCTCTTTTAGAAAACGTGTTCTGTTCTGTATTTCGTCAAAGGACGTTCACGTTTTCAGTGAAACGTGACCTAGACCATGCACCCTTAACCACAATCAAATTAAACCAATTAAATCCTACGCTCTGATTCTCTTCCCACACGTGCAAGGTGGATCAATCTTGCCGTTCGGGTTGACTCGTTGTCTCCCGCAAGAAAAGTAGGTATCTTTACGCCAGATAGTAAATATGCTTTCGCATCCGGATGTCGATGAGTGGGTAAAATGGTCTGTATTTGCCACAGCTATAGATTTCAAAAATAGAATACTTCGCGGTCTAAGGTCGCAATTTTACTCCATGTTTCGAGACCATGTCAAACTTTATTTAGAAAACACCCTTTAATTTAAGGAAGCAGTAAAAGCTGTACTTCTATAACTCGTTACTGCAGACAAACAGAACTAGCACGATCTGTTGACGTAATGATGACGCGAGCAAAGATAACTTACTTTTTAACAATTGAAATAAACCTGTAATTCTCATTTTTTTTCATTTCGCAGAGTTTTTTACTGTTATTTTCGACACCCATTCGTTGCATAACCGTGAAGGCTAATACGCAGGACCTTGCATTAGTCTGCAAGTGAAACACGGTTTTCTTTATGCTGCCTGCGGAAATAAACGAAGAAACAATGAAGTTGTCACAAGGCTGTGCTTTGGACAAAATTTTTCAAAATCTCATTGGTTTTTAAGTTCGTGTGAAAAATAGCCCTCTTTTTGGAAAACATGTTTTATTTTCCGTGTTTCGTGAAAGGACGTTTCTGTTTCCGTGAAATGTAATTTAGACTTCCTTTACCATCCTCAAAATAAACTAAATCCTACGCTTTGATTCTCTTCCCTGGATCAATCTCGCCGCTCGGGTTTCCTCGCTGTCTCCCGCAAGGAAAATTAGGCTCCTTTACGCCAAATAATAAATAACTTATAGAGGACACTTGGTCTATTAAGGCTTGTTCGCTCAGATTTTTTGTCTACGTGATTATGGAGGTTGACCTATGCCGGCTAGGTCCACAAGCTTCTTCAGTAAACACTAACGCTGATAATCAAGACACTGAAGAAAAGAATAACGAAAATTGCATCTGAAGAAAATCATGACTTGGCATTTTCTTTTCAAAAAAATGCTTTCAAAAATTTGATTTTTCTTGATATGAATCAGTCGGGTATGAACTTTGTTTCATAATCTTTTTGTCGCATCATCAAATTTTAGCGATATTAAAATAATTTACAATTTAATTTGGTGATGTGAAAAGTTCCTCTAATAAGGATAGTAAACGTACATCTTAGTGCCGGACAAAAGCAGCCTTGCTAAAATATTTTTAATTCCTTTTGTTTAAAGATTTTTTTTCATGGAGTCTTAAGTTCGTTAACGCTTGAATTCCTCATGAAATCATATCTTTTTCATGCAAACACACATGGAAAATGAAACGTAAACGAAAAACTGCATTAAAAACGTCTAAGATTTGATTTAAAAAAATCGTGTTCTCCAATCTTACACTTGCACTGTGCTATCAGTTAAAGAAAAAAAACCTTCTTTAAATAAATTTTGTGAAAAATGCGTTTATGTTGTTTGACGAGAGCTTTTCTCTTTTCAGTATTTGTTGCTCACCACTCTAGTGAGAAGCTTTGCTTGTTTTATTCAGCTCTTAATGGGTCTTGCGTACGTGCGATACCCCGTACCATAGTCTTTTAACCCACGGAAGAGAAACAATTGATATCAAACACATTAAGTACTGCGGATGATACGACCATTTCCGTGCCATTTTAAACTGCCGTGAGAATTCCACAGGACAGGACATATGCAGCGCCCTCTATTTAATGCTACGAGTTGTTCTCCTGCGGGGCAAATCTCACGTACTCCATCGGTCGTAAGATATCTAAGCTTGAAGTTAGAAATAGCGTCTTTAAGCTCCTCAGACTTCTGATTTGGCCACCAACAGATACATTTGGGATGTAAGTATTTACTTAAAATGCAATTTCAAATGAGTGTACTAGAAATGTTCTATATTTATTTAGTCTATTTTCAGTCCAGCCCTGTTCACGACGTCTAACGGGGACCAGGTTGTTCTTGATCATTCGAATACTTTAAAGTGCAAGACTTTGTTTTTTTTTTCAGCTCGCCTCAAATATATCTAAAATCTAAAATAAGAACAAAAGTTCAGTGTCCACGGGAAAATAGAATAAGATGCAAATGGAATAAGAAGTTCTGATCCAAGTTTTCAAATGGAAAATTATCAATTAAGAAAGTAGTATTTTCCTTTTATTATTAGAACACATGGAATACGTAAAAAATTAGTTCTGACTTTCGTAATTTTATTTTTTAAATTTCGACAAGATGTGGAAGTGTGTCTCGCTCTATTCATTCAGTTAGTTTTGCTGCAGTGGACAAAATCGAACTTTTTTTCTACATTTTGCTAGAGATGCCCCCTTCAATATTGACATTTTTGAAACTTTACCAGCTTTAATTGCCCAAAAGACGGTTTGCTTAATTAAAAGCTGAATCTCCGCCAATATCAAATGTGTTTACTTTGTAAGATTATAGCCTCAACTTTATTGTATTTCAAGTATTTGCTTTTCCTCAGACGCATCAATTAGGTCTACTCAATGTTTTCGCGCAGTCTTTTTTTTTCTGATTTCTTTTCTCACTTGTTTGGTGGCTTATCTCTGTTCAAACAGGCAAGATATCACAAAATATCATATTTCACAAACAACGGAAAGTAAATAACATTTCCGGAATGAACAGCTTTAACACTATAATAAAGAAAGGTCTCACTTTTTTCTTCCATCAACAGAGACAAAAGACCATTCCAGTTCGGATTTGGACTTCTAAAGGTGAGTTTTAGAATTTTAGCCGCGACAAATTATGTTTACATGTGAAAATTCTGTTAAAGACGGGCTTAATCACCCATCACTGCCAAACATCACACGCTGACAAATCTGACCGGCTTTTTTCCATTACCAGTTCATTCCGTATTCAGTTAATAATTTTATCAAAACCAATGATAGTCAAAAGAGACGTGTCTTCTGTCAGCTAGGTCTCTCTGTAATCTTTAAATTTTTAATATTAGTTAATGTCATTTCTTTGTTTCTATAACAACAGCGAATCCTGTACGTGTGTAAAATAAATGAGAAGTATTTTCCCAAGACGAACACAATTTCGTGTTCTTTTTTTCAAATTGATTTAGCTTAACTTTAATTAGCTTTTTTCGTTTAGTTTTGAAATTGGGTTTTCGCTCTCTAAACCTACTCCGTAGATTGAAAATAAGCTACTTTTAATTTTGAAATCCAAACATATGCTTGATTCAGCTTGCCGAGTAAAATGTATTCCTTCTGTTGTAAAATAACTGAATCGTCACCATGAACGAAAAAAGAGAGTTCCAATAAATTTGTTAATTACTGGCGATAAGTAGTTTCACGGACCTCATTATTTCCTTGGGTAATCGCCCTGGGTGCCGTTGTTGAAAGTATCCTTAAGCTTTTTCAGAATTGGCGTGAATTTAAATTTCAGTTTTGTAACTTTCCAATGAGGTCTGTTTTTTTCAGACGTTTAGACTGAAATATCATTTTTCCTTCAAATTTGGCTTTGACTAATGTCAGACTACAAAAAGCATTGAGAGTGACAGACATCTTTTTATACAAGCGAAATTAAAACTACGGTTATCATTTAATTCTGTAGAAGAGAGGATTATAGGGTGAAAGAGTTGATCCCTCATACAGGACTTATTCCCAAGGGAATCCCTATAAAGTTATTTTTCGATCTTTACCGACTTAAGAAATCCAGGAAGGTCCAGAAATAATCAGGATAGATCTCCAGAGATAGATCTCAAAGTTTGTCAAAGATACTCCGCTGCGCGTCGTATTTTCACCTCTCCTCTCGGTGCGGTGTCTGGAAATGTGGTCAAACACCGTCGTTCGTGTTTGATATATTGCTTACATAAAAGAGGAAATTCTCAAGACATCAAGTTTAACAGAAATGGGTGGGTTTATACTTCAAGGTTTATTACTTTAAAGAGGCACTTTTTAAACGAGGGTGGGCGTGTAATCAAAGAAATGCAGTATTCGCTTTGCTTCTCGGAGCCATCGAACTCTCTTAGTAATAAACATCGTAACTGTGCCATTATTTAGTCCAGTCGAACAAATGCTAACAACAGCACGCTGAAGGCAATTACCTAAACAACTATTCCCATTCCACCGAGTCTATACACCGACCCTCTATTTTGTCATGAGGCTCGTCGAGATCACAAGCAAAGTATTAATCAAGGGAGGGGATTTGAAAAAGCCCGAACGCAACTGGGTGGGAGCAAAGAAATAAATGTCTGTGATCATACTACCTTCCACTTTTTTTCCTCCTTATCTTGGAGGCATCGTTTCTGGGACGAACTCAAAAAGATTGTGTTAACTGAAGCGATGTACCGTTATTCTCACCACATGTTATACTTATGCTATACTATACTAATTAAAAAATTCTTATTTCTTATTAAGTTAATTCCGACACTATTGGTTTTTGAAGCAAATGTAACGATAAAAATATAACTCTGTGGTCTGTTTGTGTCCTTAGCATGGCTTTGTTTGCAGTGGGAACCGTTTTCACCCTGCTTATGGTGCTTCAAACACGTAATTATTTCATAAGTTTTTCTTAATTTATATCATCAAGTGTTAAATGTTGATTTCTTTACTCTTTCGTCCCATACATACAAAACTTTACGACTTAGTAAAGATGTCCGTCCTTCTAATTAGCTTATGGTCAGTCTCTGCCTTAGTGTTTCTCAAACTTTTACCCATTGCCAAATTTTCTTCAGTCTGTGTGTCTGTACTCTTATGGACAATGAATTGCGTAGCTCGGGGCGTAGTCTCCCATGTGAAAAGGTCGGGGATACTCGTCGGAAAATTTTATTTAAGACTCTAAGGGAGATCAATCTGAGCGTGACTCGAGCTTTGTTATGGTATACAACCCGGTCGATACTCTCGACATTCCATAGATAACCCTTTATTGTAACATTTATTTTTTTAATCTATAATTTTTATATATACTTTATAATACATTTAATACATAATTTATAATTTAATATATAATTTATAATTTAAACAAGTAGGTGAACAACTCAAATCTTGAATGGATGGATGTTTAACGAAACAGTTCTGTATTAAACATCCATCCACTCAAGATTTGAGTAGTTCACCTACTTGTTTAATCTGCTCCTTCACTGCAAGTAGAGCACTATATTGCATGGCTTCGCCGGTGAACATATATATAACCGAAATTTGATTTATAATTTATATATGTTTTTAATTTATGACATATATTTTTTAATTTATCTGCAGATGTTGCAGTAGGAGGAGTTGCAACACCGGTACGTATTTATCATTTTTTCTTAAAGAATAAATCATGGAATGAGCTTACGCCTTTTTGCATAGCCTAACCAATTTATGTGATGATAGATTCAAGAAATGCACCAGTTCAATATAGTTAGATGATTCTGCAATGAAATTTTTGACTGAGAGGCCATTGAAAATTTGCTATATTAATTAAATATTTGGTAATGTTGTTCGATATCATATTATTATAGTCAGTAGAACAAAGCTTCGAAAAACTATTTCAATGGAGCGGCTTTCCCCTGAGTGAGTGTCGAACGAAATTGTCATTTGCTTTGGAATTTGCAAAGTTCCTGCACATTGGTTGCTCGCTCGCTCGCACATGTTTTCCCACAATTTCTGTCTGATCTGTTGGGTACATGTATTTGCTTTAAGTTTTGACTGGCTCACTGGATTGTCTCTGTAACTGGCCAGAGTGAAAACGTTTAAGCCTCGTATACACGGGCGATTATTATGTGACAATTTTTATATGACAAATATATTTGGTCGGGTAGGTGGCACAGCAAATATTTGTCAGGAGCTCAAAGTTTAGTGCGCCAGTAATGACTTTGGACAACAGAGATACGCCAAAACAAGGCGGGGCTGCTTAGTCGCCTCCGAAAATCTTATGTGCTTACGAACATATTTGCCACATTTTATGTGACGAGTCGTCTACTAGGGTAATTTTTCGTATGGGACAACTATTAATTGTCACATAAAAGCTAACACTTCAGCTTTTCAGAAAATATATTTGTCACATAAAAATTGGCCAGTTTTAATCACTTACACGAGCAAATAATTGTCACATAAAAATTACTCGTGTAGACGAGGCTTTAGTTCAAAACTGCTCTATAGCTACTTCGTTATTATAATCACTTTGTTTGGACTGTGACTCCTACAAACCTCAAAAATTGTTTCCATTCAGTGGGCGTCACAGTGACTAAGATTGATACTCTATCATCTGCTTATTGATTTCGTTCATTTTTTTGAAATTTCAACAGAAACTTCATCACCACATGACGAAGAGAGAAATTGAGTATTTCTTTAATGTAGATGACCACGACAAAGGTTAGTGAAGCTATCGCAAACGATAACTTCATTGTATTGCGGTTTTTGGGTGACCGCTTAATACGAGTCCACTTAATACGATTTTTTACTCTAAACATGTACACGCATAAGCATCTAGTTTCCACTTTCGCATTCTCTAGTTTCACATGTGAATGACCTCCGCAATCTCGATTCTTAAACTGCGAACTGAAGGACAAACAACATAAACAGGAAACCTCACCGAAAAGTTACAAAACTAAAATCAAAATTCTCGTTAATCCTGGGTTAGCTTAATCGGCCTTTAAAAAATCCGGCCCTGGTTCATAATTGGCGTCATATACTAAGTATTCGTAAAATTACTTTCTACTAATTTAACCTTGTGTTATTTTCAATCGAAAGTTCCCGAGTACCACTTGACTAGTCCGTACCAATCGAACGACGCGGGAGACTTCGTGTCGTATTCCTTGCATCCAACTAGAGAAAAACGAAGTACTGGACGGGCATTCGATCATTCCTTTTATAAGCTGGATGCATTCGGATCAAAACTTCACTTGAAACTGAAAAAGAATGAGCACTTGATGGCTCCGGGCATGAAAGTTAGCAGGGAGAACATTGACGGTACAGTGACGTCACATCCAGCTACAGAAAACACATTTTATCTGGGGAATGTCGTTTCTGATCCCCAGTCCACGGTCGCAGTTAGGAACGACGGAGGTCTGGTAAGTTGCTGCTTGGTTATTTGAAACTTCCAACTGACTGATAGACTGCTTACTTACTAAACAGCTAAGTGATCATTACGAAGCGATGGAATCAGATTGTCCGACTTTTTCAGAACCGAGTGACAGATCGAATCAGGTCTGATAGACTGATCAGTCACGATTGACTGACTGACTGACTGACTGACTGACTGATTAATTAACTGATTAATGACCGAGCAACCCCACCACCGACTGAATGATCAAAGAAATTAATGAACAAACGAACACATGAACAAAGGAACCAACGAACCAACTAACCAACCAACAAACAAACCAAAGGACGGACAGACAGACGGACGAACGAATAAATAAATGACCACCTGACTAACAGCTGGCTAGCTGACCAATTGATGACCGACTGACCGACCGACTGGTTGAAAGAAACCCATTATATGTAAAGGAGAATTAAAGATTGTATGAATGCCTGGATAAATAAAATGAATTAAAATATTTAGAGAGGAATACACGTATGTATGAAAGAATGAAAATTTATCATTAATAGTGTCAATAAAAAGATAAAACTCATAACAGAAACCACAAAAAACAACCATTAACCAAAGTTCCTTCAACCATCAGACTGGTATGGTGAAGACATCACGAGACACACTTTTTGTGCATCCTCTTCCCGAACATTTGGCTAAACACGTGACCAGCAGCGATGGTGCCACACCCCATCTCGTGTACAGGCGATCTTTTCGAGAGGACGATGTCTCTTATAAAGATGATGCCTTGTACCCAGAGAGTGAAGGTGCAACATTTTTAGTTTTTTTTTTCTTAATGATTACTAATATCGTAGCATATAAATACGTCATAGAGTGAAAATTTATTAATAAGATAGAAACCAAACAGAAAAAGAGAACAACGACGCGCTGAGTGGAACAAGTATCCTCACCTTTTGAAATGAAAAAAATGGGGTTTTGAACACACCATTCGCCAGTCGTTGATTAATTTGCCGTTGTCGATAGGCCACTTTGGCAGTCGGGACGCACTTTAGTTGCTGTTGCCGTTGGGAAGAGGTGGCCTTTGTAGAGAGATTGACATAAGAGAGAGGAATGATGGACCATTCGCCGAGACAAAAAATGTGGCCTTTATTGCGAGGCGCCGGCCTTGTAAGCAGGTCGCTGTTAGTTGAGGTTCGACTGAACTTACATTTGCAAGACTTTTTTGTGATGGGTTTACATGCTGTTTTATTATCTTCTACAAGATGCAATTAATTTCTTTTTCCTTTCATTTGCTACAGATGAGGAAAAGAGCCGCTTGGGAAGATCCTTGGACGCGGAAGATTCCCGGATTCCAGTTCCAAAATTCAAAACCCTTAAAGTGGCATTGATGTGTCCGCCGTCTTTCGCTGCAAAATATAATTCAGGAAAATTGAATGTTACTACGGGAGGTGTCGAAAGTTATCTCCTTATACTTGCCAATATAGTAGGTTCTGTTTTTGTGTTTATTTTTAGGATTACATAGAAATAAGCGAGGACCCTAGAAATTAGGAATTACTCTCCGCTTATATTTTCTTTGTTTGAATTTTTGTCTTCTTTAAGAACCTTTTTTTACGAGAACGTCGAGCCTGAAGTTAAATGATTAATTTGAAGAATATACTAAGAACACATCCCAGTTATCAGGGGAGGTTCATTTTGACAATACTAAATTGGTTCTAAGCAGGGCAATAACCAAATGTTTTGGAGGAAATTTTGAACATAAACGTCGAGCTCGTGTTATTGGATGGTTCATTGTCGTCGAACATCTTCCTATTTATGAATGAAACTTAAGATACCTCACGTAATATATCAAACGCGAGAGACAGTGCTTCATCGGGATATCCAAACAGCGAGAGGAGAGTACTTGAAAATACGACGCGCAGCGGAGTATTTTTGACGAAATTCGAGGTGTTTGGATAGNCTGGCGATAAGTAGTTTCACGGACCTCATTATTTCCTTGGGTAATCGCCCTGGGTGCCGTTGTTGAAAGTATCCTTAAGCTTTTTCAGAATTGGCGTGAATTTAAATTTCAGTTTTGTAACTTTCCAATGAGGTCTGTTTTTTTCAGACGTTTAGACTGAAATATCATTTTTCCTTCAAATTTGGCTTTGACTAATGTCAGACTACAAAAAGCATTGAGAGTGACAGACATCTTTTTATACAAGCGAAATTAAAACTACGGTTATCATTTAATTCTGTAGAAGAGAGGATTATAGGGTGAAAGAGTTGATCCCTCATACAGGACTTATTCCCAAGGGAATCCCTATAAAGTTATTTTTCGATCTTTACCGACTTAAGAAATCCAGGAAGGTCCAGAAATAATCAGGATAGATCTCCAGAGATAGATCTCAAAGTTTGTCAAAGATACTCCGCTGCGCGTCGTATTTTCACCTCTCCTCTCGGTGCGGTGTCTGGAAATGTGGTCAAACACCGTCGTTCGTGTTTGATATATTGCTTACATAAAAGAGGAAATTCTCAAGACATCAAGTTTAACAGAAATGGGTGGGTTTATACTTCAAGGTTTATTACTTTAAAGAGGCACTTTTTAAACGAGGGTGGGCGTGTAATCAAAGAAATGCAGTATTCGCTTTGCTTCTCGGAGCCATCGAACTCTCTTAGTAATAAACATCGTAACTGTGCCATTATTTAGTCCAGTCGAACAAATGCTAACAACAGCACGCTGAAGGCAATTACCTAAACAACTATTCCCATTCCACCGAGTCTATACACCGACCCTCTATTTTGTCATGAGGCTCGTCGAGATCACAAGCAAAGTATTAATCAAGGGAGGGGATTTGAAAAAGCCCGAACGCAACTGGGTGGGAGCAAAGAAATAAATGTCTGTGATCATACTACCTTCCACTTTTTTTCCTCCTTATCTTGGAGGCATCGTTTCTGGGACGAACTCAAAAAGATTGTGTTAACTGAAGCGATGTACCGTTATTCTCACCACATGTTATACTTATGCTATACTATACTAATTAAAAAATTCTTATTTCTTATTAAGTTAATTCCGACACTATTGGTTTTTGAAGCAAATGTAACGATAAAAATATAACTCTGTGGTCTGTTTGTGTCCTTAGCATGGCTTTGTTTGCAGTGGGAACCGTTTTCACCCTGCTTATGGTGCTTCAAACACGTAATTATTTCATAAGTTTTTCTTAATTTATATCATCAAGTGTTAAATGTTGATTTCTTTACTCTTTCGTCCCATACATACAAAACTTTACGACTTAGTAAAGATGTCCGTCCTTCTAATTAGCTTATGGTCAGTCTCTGCCTTAGTGTTTCTCAAACTTTTACCCATTGCGAAATTTTCTTCAGTCTGTGTGTCTGTACTCTTATGGACAATGAATTGCGTAGCTCGGGGCGTAGTCTCCCATGTGAAAAGGTCGGGGATACTCGTCGGAAAATTTTATTTAAGACTCTAAGGGAGATCAATCTGAGCGTGACTCGAGCTTTGTTATGGTATACAACCCGGTCGATACTCTCGACATTCCATAGATAACCCTTTATTGTAACATTTATTTTTTTAATCTATAATTTTTATATATACTTTATAATACATTTAATACATAATTTATAATTTAATATATAATTTATAATTTAAACAAGTAGGTGAACAACTCAAATCTTGAATGGATGGATGTTTAACGAAACAGTTCTGTATTAAACATCCATCCACTCAAGATTTGAGTAGTTCACCTACTTGTTTAATCTGCTCCTTCACTGCAAGTAGAGCACTATATTGCATGGCTTCGCCGGTGAACATATATATAACCGAAATTTGATTTATAATTTATATATGTTTTTAATTTATGACATATATTTTTTAATTTATCTGCAGATGTTGCAGTAGGAGGAGTTGCAACACCGGTACGTATTTATCATTTTTTCTTAAAGAATAAATCATGGAATGAGCTTACGCCTTTTTGCATAGCCTAACCAATTTATGTGATGATAGATTCAAGAAATGCACCAGTTCAATATAGTTAGATGATTCTGCAATGAAATTTTTGACTGAGAGGCCATTGAAAATTTGCTATATTAATTAAATATTTGGTAATGTTGTTCGATATCATATTATTATAGTCAGTAGAACAAAGCTTCGAAAAACTATTTCAATGGAGCGGCTTTCCCCTGAGTGAGTGTCGAACGAAATTGTCATTTGCTTTGGAATTTGCAAAGTTCCTGCACATTGGTTGCTCGCTCGCTCGCACATGTTTTCCCACAATTTCTGTCTGATCTGTTGGGTACATGTATTTGCTTTAAGTTTTGACTGGCTCACTGGATTGTCTCTGTAACTGGCCAGAGTGAAAACGTTTAAGCCTCGTATACACGGGCGATTATTATGTGACAATTTTTATATGACAAATATATTTGGTCGGGTAGGTGGCACAGCAAATATTTGTCAGGAGCTCAAAGTTTAGTGCGCCAGTAATGACTTTGGACAACAGAGATACGCCAAAACAAGGCGGGGCTGCTTAGTCGCCTCCGAAAATCTTATGTGCTTACGAACATATTTGCCACATTTTATGTGACGAGTCGTCTACTAGGGTAATTTTTCGTATGGGACAACTATTAATTGTCACATAAAAGCTAACACTTCAGCTTTTCAGAAAATATATTTGTCACATAAAAATTGGCCAGTTTTAATCACTTACACGAGCAAATAATTGTCACATAAAAATTACTCGTGTAGACGAGGCTTTAGTTCAAAACTGCTCTATAGCTACTTCGTTATTATAATCACTTTGTTTGGACTGTGACTCCTACAAACCTCAAAAATTGTTTCCATTCAGTGGGCGTCACAGTGACTAAGATTGATACTCTATCATCTGCTTATTGATTTCGTTCATTTTTTTGAAATTTCAACAGAAACTTCATCACCACATGACGAAGAGAGAAATTGAGTATTTCTTTAATGTAGATGACCACGACAAAGGTTAGTGAAGCTATCGCAAACGATAACTTCATTGTATTGCGGTTTTTGGGTGACCGCTTAATACGAGTCCACTTAATACGATTTTTTACTCTAAACATGTACACGCATAAGCATCTAGTTTCCACTTTCGCATTCTCTAGTTTCACATGTGAATGACCTCCGCAATCTCGATTCTTAAACTGCGAACTGAAGGACAAACAACATAAACAGGAAACCTCACCGAAAAGTTACAAAACTAAAATCAAAATTCTCGTTAATCCTGGGTTAGCTTAATCGGCCTTTAAAAAATCCGGCCCTGGTTCATAATTGGCGTCATATACTAAGTATTCGTAAAATTACTTTCTACTAATTTAACCTTGTGTTATTTTCAATCGAAAGTTCCCGAGTACCACTTGACTAGTCCGTACCAATCGAACGACGCGGGAGACTTCGTGTCGTATTCCTTGCATCCAACTAGAGAAAAACGAAGTACTGGACGGGCATTCGATCATTCCTTTTATAAGCTGGATGCATTCGGATCAAAACTTCACTTGAAACTGAAAAAGAATGAGCACTTGATGGCTCCGGGCATGAAAGTTAGCAGGGAGAACATTGACGGTACAGTGACGTCACATCCAGCTACAGAAAACACATTTTATCTGGGGAATGTCGTTTCTGATCCCCAGTCCACGGTCGCAGTTAGGAACGACGGAGGTCTGGTAAGTTGCTGCTTGGTTATTTGAAACTTCCAACTGACTGATAGACTGCTTACTTACTAAACAGCTAAGTGATCATTACGAAGCGATGGAATCAGATTGTCCGACTTTTTCAGAACCGAGTGACAGATCGAATCAGGTCTGATAGACTGATCAGTCACGATTGACTGACTGACTGACTGACTGACTGACTGACTGATTAATTAACTGATTAATGACCGAGCAACCCCACCACCGACTGAATGATCAAAGAAATTAATGAACAAACGAACACATGAACAAAGGAACCAACGAACCAACTAACCAACCAACAAACAAACCAAAGGACGGACAGACAGACGGACGAACGAATAAATAAATGACCACCTGACTAACAGCTGGCTAGCTGACCAATTGATGACCGACTGACCGACCGACTGGTTGAAAGAAACCCATTATATGTAAAGGAGAATTAAAGATTGTATGAATGCCTGGATAAATAAAATGAATTAAAATATTTAGAGAGGAATACACGTATGTATGAAAGAATGAAAATTTATCATTAATAGTGTCAATAAAAAGATAAAACTCATAACAGAAACCACAAAAAACAACCATTAACCAAAGTTCCTTCAACCATCAGACTGGTATGGTGAAGACATCACGAGACACACTTTTTGTGCATCCTCTTCCCGAACATTTGGCTAAACACGTGACCAGCAGCGATGGTGCCACACCCCATCTCGTGTACAGGCGATCTTTTCGAGAGGACGATGTCTCTTATAAAGATGATGCCTTGTACCCAGAGAGTGAAGGTGCAACATTTTTAGTTTTTTTTTTCTTAATGATTACTAATATCGTAGCATATAAATACGTCATAGAGTGAAAATTTATTAATAAGATAGAAACCAAACAGAAAAAGAGAACAACGACGCGCTGAGTGGAACAAGTATCCTCACCTTTTGAAATGAAAAAAATGGGGTTTTGAACACACCATTCGCCAGTCGTTGATTAATTTGCCGTTGTCGATAGGCCACTTTGGCAGTCGGGACGCACTTTAGTTGCTGTTGCCGTTGGGAAGAGGTGGCCTTTGTAGAGAGATTGACATAAGAGAGAGGAATGATGGACCATTCGCCGAGACAAAAAATGTGGCCTTTATTGCGAGGCGCCGGCCTTGTAAGCAGGTCGCTGTTAGTTGAGGTTCGACTGAACTTACATTTGCAAGACTTTTTTGTG